GACAACCCAGTTCAACCTTTCATGCATGAACATGGTGTTGTATTCCTTCAAACAAAACAGCTGTTTCCCCATGTCTGGAGCCACAGGCTATCATGCTCCCAGCTTTTGGGAATGCCTGGGTTGGAGTCAGGTCCGTTCCACCTGTGAGGTCTGTGCTGGGCATCCATTTATTTCTTGAAAGAAGGGAGGTGCAAAGTAAAGAATGAAATGTTCTAGTGTCTCTGAGGTTCTTACAAGGGATCCCTTACAAGGATCTCTGAGGATCTCTAAGGGAAGACATGGCAAAGCATGGTTGCATAGACTATTGACCTTCTAATGCTAACAGACCTGTTTTAAGCATTACCTTGTCCTTATGCTTCTTCTTGGTAAGCTACAGATGAGACTGTAAAGATATAAAGTAGATTAGAAAGGGATGAATTAGGCTCTAGCTTCACCTGTCAGAAGGTTAAGACTTGGATTATGCTGCAATCTGAATTCACAAATGACTCATCAATTTGCACTTTCTATTAAAATATATTTTAAGTCCTCAAAATTATCTTGGACAATTCTGTCTCATGCATGAAAAATATATTTCTGTCTCTATATAATACTGTCTGCAAAAACCAGCAAAGGTTTGTGTACCATTTACATAATATATTTCCTGTGCCAATAGTGGTTTACCGTAATGACTGTATAATCCAAGGGCAGCTTAACATAGAGAGTGCATTTCAATGCTGCACTTTCTTTTTCATTTTTAAAGAATAAAAATACTAATTGAAATGTAGATAAAGAAAAAGTAAGCAATAAACTATTCTGTAGTATTAGCCAAATATTCTGAAAAGACACATTCCCCCAGCCACAGGCAGCCATACTTGGTGGTAGTTGCACACATCTCAAGGTGCTTTCTAGACCCCAATAAATTCTGCCACAGCCCAAACCAGGTACCAACACTGTTCCAGTTTCTCTGCCTAGTTTATATGTCAGGCATAAGCTTAGGGATCTTATTTGAGTACGTGGATCAAAGATTTAAAAGAAAAAAGCCTTCCAAGGTTTAGGTTCCAAGGATCACTCTATAAAGCTAAAATATCATCTGGTTTGTACAGCTGTCACCATTAAGGCTGACAATAGCAGTATTTATTATGCTATGCTATGCTATACTCTGTACAGGTACAAGTGTTTTCCTTTTTTGAGAATTAACATAATCTTCATACTCTTTCTCTTATGAAAGACATCCAGTTAAGATATTTTTCAGATATGTATTTTAATGTTAGAATGTAGAAGAGCAAGAAACACCTCTGTATCATGAAAAGGTTATAATTAAAATTTCTGAAACCACTTGCTACAAAATGCTTCTTACTGTTATGGTTCCATATGGAAAAACTGGCAACTTCAGCTAAAGACCAGGATTTCCTTCCACATCTTTCAGGAATGATTGTGCTGATAATAGTCACTAAGGATCTAACAGGAAAGAAGAAATTCATAAGGTAAATCCAGCCACAACTCAGGATCACACAAGAATGTGGCCTTTCAAAAGAGAGATGACAAAATAGTCCTTGCCTTTGATGTAACTTCTGATGAAGGACTGAGAATAGCTAAGTAAACAACTTCTGTGGTCCTCATGGAGCTTTTATGTCATTCATGTTGGACATGTTCATTTGAAAGTTCTTACATTTACATCTCTTTTGATATCTGCTCAACAAAATCAAGTGTGTGATGCTTCACATGAGGCCTAAATTATTGTGTTTTCTGACTGATAATTACTTGCCCTGTTATTTATTTGGGGGATATTCTATGTTATAATTGTCATGTTTGATTTCCACACATCTTGAGAAATCCTTGGGCTATTATCATTAGGTGCTTTTCTGAGAGTGAGAAGTCTGGTAGTCAAAGTTAAGAAGTCTCAGAAAAGCCACATACAAAACAAAAAAAAAATTAATTAAAAGCATTTGAACAACAAATGTTTTCAAAGAAAATCATCATCACTGGGATACTGGGTCAAATTTCAAGCTGGCTTCAGTGTAGGCCTTCTGATTTCTGCCAGATATGGATCTGGCTCATGTAGCTCTTGTAAAAATGAACGACAAGGCTTGGGCTTCTCAGTAAAGTAATTCATTAATCAATACATGCTTATCATACATATAATTTCTGAAAATGAGAATAATTTTGTCCTTGCATAAAGCCCTCTAGAATCAGTGGGAAAATTTGCATGGACTTCATTGAGTTATGGATCACATCCTGTATATATCTACATTTTTAAATCTTTTCCTGTGCTTCCTCTTTCAATGGAAATTAATAGCTTCTTGAATTGAAATGACCAGTTTCCAATTTAGTTTTGCATAAGCAGAGTCCAGTGGGATTAAATATGAATGCTGTCTTGCTTATTCATTAATCATAAAAATATGGTATTCAGTTAGTTATGTAAGTGATTATTTTGGCACGGAAATGTCTGCTACTTTTATGGTTGTGCCTAAGGATCATCTCAAGTGCAGCAGAGAACTTAGAAACCGATTCACCTTGATATATTCACCTTATAAAGAACACACAAAGATTCATAAATGCTCTGGAGCCAATACTGATTTTGTAGATGTTAGTGTAATGAGAGGTCAACATGTCCAAGCATCTGCATTCAATTGTATAGTTACAGGGAGAAGCAGCAAAAGTTCATGTGAGACCTCTTTTAAATCCTCCTGGCCACATATGACCTATGTAAAATATTTTATTCTGAGAACATTTAAAATTGTAAACGTTGCAGATCCTGTTCGTTTAAAGTCTGAGCAGTCAGATGAACAAGGTTGAACTGGCCCCAAACAATGCTAAATTCTTCGCTCCCATTCAGCTTTTGGGTCAAGGAAAAGGGACAAGAACAAGACGTGATGTGCCATTGGAAAGTAGTAAGCAGCAAGGAGCAAATCAACATCAGATGCAAGTCAGAGGTTTGTTGAAACAGGTTCAGTACTTGGTTTCTTTTCCTGCAGGGTTGTTGGAAGCTGAAATTCTTCACTGGACAGGGTAATTCAATACACTTGGCGTATAAGAAGTTGCCTCACTGGCACAGACATCTTCTATCTAAAAATGAAGTAAATGCTAGTTCCACCTTTGTCTCCTTCCAGTGTCCTTGCGTCACTGGCACCCCATTGTCTTTTCCAAGTACAAAGAATAATCTCAGGCTTGATTCACTGTGCTTCCATTTATTGAGGCCAGAGCACAGCCATGTCCTTGCTCCTTGTAAAAATAAACTTCATGAATTCTCTCTTTTCTGGTCATTATTGCTATTTTAGAGAAGGAAATGTGTTAGCTTCGGAATTTTATTTTCAAGAAAAGATGTAGGCAGATGACAAAAGTTTCATGATATTGGTCCCACTGAAGTCTCCTTCTCTGAGAAAGCCATAGCTGAAAAGTAGTTTCATGAGAAATTGGTCCAGTCTCGATTTTTTATTTCTTTTTTACATGGTGGAACCCAGAGCCTGATTGTAAGAAAATATTAAAATTTCTTCAGCCCTTTTGCAAGTATAATGGGTATCTGTGATGGCAAAAGTACTCTAAACATTTTTCACTAATACAAATATTTTGAACTGAAGAGATTAATAATCAGTTTCTTGTGTCTTTTCTCTTAGCTGCTGTTTGGTTCAGTAGCTAAAAAACACAGGCCAACCTGGTGCATCTCTTGTACAACTCACAGCCAAACAGCAGTGCCAGAAGGAGAGAGGGCTGCACATAACATGTGGAGAAACAGGAGAATGGAAAGATGGAAGGAATCAAGTATAAGGTCTCATGATTTCTTAATCACTATGTCCACATCTTGTTCCATAATGCATACAAGATTTCAGCCACCCAATCTACTGAAATCCCTCTCACAACATGTCAGCTTTTAACTAAACATCCCACTCTCATCCTTGATGGGTTATCCATCCCCATTGACATTGTGCTGTCTTCTGCATTATCCTGGGGTTTTTTATGCTCATGTTATTTGTGAGTCTTAACATACTATTGCCTTTCTGTTAGTCATGCCGATCACTCAACACATGGAGATTTCTGGGTTTCCCAGCTGTTTGCCTCTCTCATCTTTACTGTACTACCGAATGCATTTGCCAATGTCCTGTCAGCCAGTCATCTTGACCATCAAACCATCGTAACTCAGTGTAGTATCTGAAGGATACTGCTGGAAGGAGAAAGGCAGTTTCAGTGCTTCAGAGTATCTAGGTAGCCCTAATGACTAAAATTAATCATCCCAAAAGGGATTCAGTCAGCATTACCAGCACAGCACCATGTTTCCCCACTGCAAGAGGAAGATTTTTATAGGCTGCTCTCTTCCCTTCCTCCAACTCAGTGCTTATAAGAGAGCAAGCCTCCAAAGCTGGTCTACGAAAAAGGAGCTCTTGCTCAGTCAGAGCAGGCAGTGGTAGTGTATCTCATGCCTCAGCACTGTTTCTATGCTGTCTCAATATGGGTATCTCAAGATCCCATTATATCTCAGAAGGAATATCAGGCTCTTCAGAGATATCTCTGCAAAACTGTCTGCAGGTCTGGACTGGGGATGGACCAGCGAAAAACGGGTTCCTTGCAGTCCACATGGTGTCCCAAGCGTTTTTTTTTGTTTGTTTGTTTGTTTGTTTTTTTCTTGTACCGGGACATCCTGAGATGCTGCAAGCCACGCTCCAATATTCAGGACCCTCTTCCACATGGAAACCCCACGGCCAAACTGGGAGCCTGAGCTCACCCTCTGTCCCCACGTCTCATGGGCATGCTCTCCACAGCAAGGGTTGCGCAGTAACTCCTGAGTGGGTCGTTCAGCGCTGCTCCCTCTGCTCGGGGCTCCTCGCTCGGCACCCACACACCCCTCCTACGTCGAGGGGTGTCGGTTCCCAGGGCTCCGCCGCCGGGCTGGCCCGGCCGAGGTGCCGCCGTCGGGAGACCCCGGCCCCCCCGCGCAGGGCGGGGAGGGCAGCGCCAGGGGGAGTGGCCCTGCCGGGCCGGCCTCATAAATAGCCCTCAGGACGGCGGCGGCGGGAAGAGTCGTCGGAGCTGCCTCTGTCGTTCCGCGCCGGCCGCGGCCAGAGGCGAGTCAGGACCGCGGACAGCGCCCCCCCCGCGCCGCCCCGCGCCCACCATGACGGCGGAGACCCATCTGCAGGGCGTGGAGATCTCGGCAGCCCAGTTCTTCGAGATCTGGCACCACTACGACTCCGACGGTGACTCCTTTCCCTCGGGGGCGCGGGGGGCGAGGGGGGCGAGCCCGCGGGAGGCCGGGGGGACAGCAGCGCTGCCCGCCCGAAGGCGGCCCGGGCCCCCCGCAGCCCCGGCGCCATCGGGAGCGGGGCCGGGGCCGGGAGAGGGGCGCGGGAGCCGCTCTCCGCCGGCAGGGAGCAGCCGGGTCGGAGACGCCCCTGCCGGCGCTGGAGAACGGAGAGAGTTTGGAGGGAGCGGTGCCGGCAGCCTTAGTAACTCTTTCTGTTGTTCATTCAGGCAATGGGTTCATGGACGGGAAGGAGCTACAAAACTTCATCCAGGAGCTGCAGCAGGCACGGAAGAAGGCAGGCTTGGTAGGTTAATGTTTCGTGCCACTTTTCCGTCTTCTTCGGGAAAGAAGAGTTTTTCTTGAGCAGACTCCGGTGTCCCGGTTCCTCCTGTTCTCTCTTGCCATCCCGCGGTTCATGCACCTGCCGCAGCGGGCAAAGGGAAATAGCTTGGTTAGAAAGGAGCAAGTTGCAAATCTGATAAATCGTCAGCTTTGGAAAGGTAAAACCAGGGTCCACCTCACTGATGAGCGGCTCCCGCTCGTACCTTGCAAGGCTACAAGCTGATACTCCTGGCAGTGCTTAAAAAGAAAAGTCAGGAAATGTACGGATGCTGTCTTTTTGTCTTGGATGGGACCTTATCCCATTGCAATTAATCTTACCTGATCCAGATATGTACTCATTAAAACTGACAGGGAGAGTGGGAGACACATACACACACACACACACACACACAAAAAAAAAAAAAAAAAAAGACTAAGAAAAAAGAGGAAAATACTCCTGGCAGTGCTTAAAAAGAAAAGTCAGGAAATGTACGGATGCTGTCTTTTTGTCTTGGATGGGACCTTATCCCATTGCAATTAATCTTATCTGATCCAGATATGTACTCATTAAAACTGGCGGGGAGAGTGGGAGACACACGCACACACCAAAAAAAAAAAAAAAAAAAAAAAAAAAAAAAAAGGACTAGGAAAACGAGGAAGAGAAAAAACGCATCACCCCATCACTTCAGGATAGTTTGACTCTCAATTTCACACGTAATGGGCAGCAAGGGCTGAAATGCGTTTCTGCCCCTTGGTGGTCACTAAATAGATCTGCAGATGACTCCTAAACACTTACTGCTCTTCACCAGGAGTGTGAGTACCAAATCCCGGCTGTTTAAATGGCTCAGAGAGACAGCGAAGGTTTTGACAGTGTTGTCAAAACATGTCTGTGTACGAGTTATTGAAACATTAATTATTAATTTCCTCCAAATTATATCCATGCAAGGGGAGAAGAGAAAAGGGAGAAAGATAAAAATAAATTAAAGATTCTATGTAAAAATACAGCCACTCTTACCATCAAAGCCCAATATATAACTTAATGGAACCAGTCTAAATGAATCTGTGCTAAAAGAATTCTGAAAAAACAGGAAAAAAATTTAAGTGGATGATGTGTGCATGGAGAAAATAGATTAATACTTCCTAATAAGAATGCCTCCAAATTGAGAAATAGCTTTTCAATAATTAACTTTGCTTTGAAAGTTCCTAAATATTTTAGACCTAAATGCAGAAAAAATAGTTAATATGAAACTTAATTGTTTTTGTGGAAAATCGTATAATTTAAATTGTATCAGTACAAACTTTAAACTTATGATAATCTGTCTCTCAGCAATGCCTTTTATGTTACTGTAGTCTAGGTAGCAGTTAATTCTTGTAAGAGATGTTGGTGTAGGCTCTCATTTTCCTGAGTAAGTTCAAACTAAAATTAAAAATAAAATAAAGCAAAATTGAAGTTAAAAAACTCAAAACAAAACAGAAAATTGGGAAATCGATGTGGGTTTTTTTTGAAGGAAAAAGTCTATTTTTTTCACAGAAAAGATTAATCAACTTCAATACATTTCAAGTATTGCAACAGAACAAATCTCTCTTTTATGCTAAAGTGCAGGAAACTTAAGTATGCTCAGTTGAAAGAAGATATTAAAGCCTCTTTATATTTAGTATGAATGACACTGTTAGTAGAAATGTTAATATATTATTGAGTAGTTAAAAATTGATTAGAAGCTCAAGGTAAAAAATATTTATAATTTTAAGGTCAGAATATTTTCTCTCTTGAAGCAAGTGTGCATCTCTAAAAAACATAGCCTACTCAAAGCAACACAGAAACCCTTGCAGGACTATTCTTATCTGTCAGAAATGTTATAATGTATGCGGGGTTTTTTTAAATAACTCCTGCCGGTATCTGACACTGTACTCTAAAAATGCTCAGATATTTAAGTTTTTCTGTCCCGTTTCTCTGATTGAAACCTAGCTTTGGAGTGTTCTGCTGAAAAGAATGATCTACAGTAGCAAAACCAAATTCAGCACCTGGTCTGTGGGCTCTGGAGTATGGCTATTTGTCATCTTAGGTTTCAAATCTAACCTGATTCTTGCATTTGAAGGCTCATTTGCTAAACAAGCACCTCATTAGTTCATTTCTTGTCTCACGGGATACTAATTCAGTATCTTTGAATATCTATTCTTTTGCCAGGAGGGACACATTGAGAAACTAGTGTAGGTTATATGTAATTTCCCTGTCTGTCCTTCTTTTAACACTCCAAAGCTTCTTTGTCATCATTAACTTCTGCATTTCAGGTCGCTCTTCTGCTCACTATTTTTGAAATATTCAATTATGCATTCTCCATAGCTGGATTTTACATCAGTCATGCCATATGCATTAAAGAATCACATTGATGCTGTCATTGAATAGGATGGTTTAATATTTCCCAATATTCTTCCCAACTACAGAACTGTTCTAATTATGTTCTGATGCTAATCCTTGCATTAATCCACTCAGTAAGCCTGTACTTTCACAGCTGCTTTTTCTCAGACAGAGAGGTAGCATGCATCTTGATTCAGGCTAGCCCCCCTGGAAGGGGGGAATGTCTACTCAGAAGGTTTAGTCCTTGAGCTTTGGAAACATTAGGCTCTTTTGTTTCATACATGATGGTATTTAGTTTTTGTTTAGGTTTAGTGTTTGAGCTTAGGAAACATTAGGCTCTTTTGTTTCATACATTCTGGTAGATACTGGTTGACCTGGTATAACTTCAGCCATGCTAAAAGAACTCTTTTTTAAAGATAAAAGCTACAAAAGTGTATGAACATAGTTTCTGTTTATTGTGACCCACATTTATGGATGGTAGATACTGGTTGACCTGGTATAAATTCAGCCATGCTAAAAAGAACTCTTTTTTAAAGATAAAAGCTGCAAAAGTGTATAAACATAGTTTCTGTTTATTGTGACCCACATTTATGCAATACATTCTCTGTTTGGGAGTGCCAATTGCCAAAAGAAACCCTGGGGTATAAGTGACCAGTGCAGAGGTTGATAAAGTGCCAATAGTTGGGTCTTGTCTGAGCTATTCCACATCCATTTCTCACTTTCCCTGCCTGTATAGATAACGACAACATTTCTCCACAGAAGTATGTTATTTATGAATACAATTATGTGAGTGTTTCTGTAGTGCCAATTATCCTTACATTGTCAAATCATATCAGAAAAAACTAATTTTTTCCACTTGTTGGAAAAATATATTTTCTGAGGTGTCTGACTAAGGCATGAAGGGCTAGTTTCTTCATTTCAAAAATTGAGAACTGCATCTCTATCAGGTTTAGGACTAGACTTGGTTAAATTTAGGCAATTTTTTGATAAAAAATATTTATTTGAAAAACATAACACAAATACCTCTTCAAGCAACTGAGTATCAGAAAAAGCCAATTTTTTCCACTTGTTGGAAAATATCTTTTCTGAGGTGTCTGACTAAGGCATGAAGGGCTAGTTTCTTCATTTCGAAAGTTGAGCACTGCATCTCTATCAGGTTTAGAACTAGACTTGGTTAAATTTAGGCAATTTTTTGATAAAAAAAATTTATTTGAATAACATAACTCAAATAACTCTTCAAGCAACTCATGAGCAGGTTAAGTGAACACCAAAAAACTCATCATAATTTCTGAATAATGAACTAGAGGATGAGTTTCCTGGTTTGTTTAACCTGTAATCAGCTGTACCTCCTTTTATGGCTGGACATTGTCCGGCACTGCAGAGCTGTTATTAGAAAGATTAGTAAAATTTTAACCAGGACTAATTAAAATCCAAGTGTCTAATTCTCCATTCTACCTGCTAAGCAAACTTGTCCCCACTTTGGGATCATTAGATGAAAGGTGACTTTGAAGTCCATTGTATTAATAACCACATCTCTAATTAAAGCCACGGCAAATTACTAACTTGCTATGGATGACTTTGACAGAAATAGGATACTAGGCCGTGACTGTATCAGCCACAAGGAACTGACATTTTAGTTAGCTTTGGCAGGTGAAATTTGGGACAAGCTGCAACAGACTTTGTACAGCTGAGAGTCCCCGTGTCTCCAGTGAGAAAATCATTTAGGTCCTATACAATCAGATCTATTATAACAACTAAACCTTTAATTTCCAAAGTCTGATGTAACTTCATCTATAACTGTAGAATTATCCATTGTTTCAATGTAACTGTAATCCTATTCTTGCTGAATGGTTTCACTAGCTTCCACCTCTAAGAAATACAATGAAAATAAAAAGTTCAATCAGTATTGAAAGTTGATGACCTCTCATATCAAAGAAAGACAGGTCAAGTTGAAGTGTGAAATCAAATATATAGATATTTATCCCAGACTGGCACTTCTTGCCATAGCCTAGAATGAGAAGAACCTATTATGACTAAACTACCACAGAAATATGAATAATTTGTTTCACTCGCAGCCACAATTGATTTTTGAAAGTGCATCTTTTAACAATACTTAGCATTGATCAAGTACCTTTGTCAGCTTCTCCTTGTACAGCTGCTCAACAATTGTATAACTTAGACAACTTGATAGGAAGGGGGAACCATTGTGTTTTCTCTGAATTTCATTCTTCAGCACTGCAATTCAAAAAGGAGAGTTTGTGGCGTTATAGGGTTACAGTTTGAGAAGTCACTTCTCTGAGCTTAAATCAACAACTCATTTATGCCACTCCGAGTGCAGTGACACTGCGTTTTATTAATTAAAACATACTGTATTTTTTTTTCCTGATAATAAGAAACTTGACCCAGAGAGCTAATTAAGAAACAGCTGGAAACAAGCCAGGCCTGCAAAATTTCTACAGTGACCAGCTTTGGGTCAGTATCTAATTTTAAAACTGAGGACTGTATAGAATCTGTAGAAGTCAATAGAAAGTATCACTGCTGATAGAATAGATCATTTCAAGATATCTTTTTTCCTCTGTTGTATGAATTTTATATACTTGTTTAAAGGCATATGTAATTATGACTAAACTACCACAGAAATATGAATAATTTGTTTCACTCGCAGCCACAATTGATTTTTGAAAGTGCATCTTTTAACAATACTTAGCATTGATCAAGTACCTTTGCAACTAGAAAGAAGTGGAATTTATTTGGTACAACAACTCTTTTTGTTTTGGACTAACAAACACTAATTTATTATTGAAGAATTTTATTTAAATTAGTCTTTTTTAATATCTGTGGAGCCAGCACTGATGCAAGAAGAATGTGTGACCAGTGCCTAAAAAAGACTGTGCTTCTTCACTTAGTAATGATAACTGGAAGTTTTACCTTTCAAATTCTATTTCTGATTCTTATATTGACTTAATGAGGGAAGATGAGCAAATCCAATAGGGTCTGATATGGCTCACCACCCCCAGTGAAGGGCCAAGCATGTTCAGCATTCACGGAAGCAACTGAATAGTGATAGTATGTAGTTCAGTGACTGAAGGGACTTTCTCCCTTAATATAGCAGTTTCCAAACCCAATAGCTGTATTTTGTTTCCCTTACATCAGCATGAGGCTTGATTTGGAAAGTGCTGATGGGACTCATGAAATAACTGTGTCGTACGTGCAGAGCAGTATGATATTAAAGTTGGTATTTGGACTTGACTCTCCTTCCTTATATTAAAAAAAAAATCCAGTAATTCCAGATTGTTCCCATATACATAGAACATCAAATCATTTTTCTGAAAACTGTGTGAACGCTGTTCAAGAAAACTTACGTAAAGCCATTCAGATTCCCAGCCCTCAAAATGGACACCCAGCATTTGACAAAGAATGAATATGCCAGCCAATAATGAGTTTTCAGGAAAGGTCTGTTGACTGAGATAAAGAGGAGGCCAGGGTGGCTTCACAGAGGAAGAAATGGATTTTCAGCTCAGATCAAGTGTTGATTCTCTTTGCAAGCACACTGCAGTTAGTTTGCTGGCTGTTATCCAGTGTCCTCCAGCTAAAGGCAGAGCCTGACCTGCTCACTTTCTTTCCATTGTGTAAGAGACCTTTAATTCACCTTTTGTACTCATTGAGACCAATGCTTTTACTAAAATGTGGCTGTGGAACCCAAGATTTCAAAACTCAGAGCTGCAGCAATTTCACATTCGAATTATTTTAAAATTACTGCTGCCAAAAAATCGACTACTTATTAGCCTAAAATGTTCTTTGTACTCCCATGCTCTATTATGGGATTTTAAAAAGCAAATTCACTCTATCAGGTGAAAGGAATTTTAAGTAGCATTAAATATCAAGGGAATTTACTTAGAGAACAATGTCTAGAAAATAGTTCTGATATTGTTTGAGGTACTGAGAGTATTTTTCTGCTAGGTAGCCTGTAAAGACACACCTCAGCCTGCAGTTGACCAGAGAGAAGTCAAACCAGTCTCAGGCTTTGTAGCTGTCCTCTATTACTTGCGATCCAGAGATAACCAACCTTCTCCATAAAAGCAGCAAAGCTCAAGGCTCACTAAACTCCTATTACTGCCATACACAGACTTGCAGTGGTCTGCACTCTTACTCAAATATGCTCACAAAGTCCCACTATGTTTATCCCCACAAAGAAGTCATCACTTAAAATAGCTCCAGGTTTCCATCTTTCTTCTTGGCAGTGGTATAAAACTGGGACTGGGAAGTTGAACCAGTTTCCACACAATCTACTCATCCCTTTAATACTGCGGAGTTTTCCACAAAAAGCAATTTAATGCTTTCCCCCGAGACTTACAAAGGGTAAGAGGTATAGCTTAAAATAAGGTAATTTTCTTTCAGAGGTAATGCCTCAATTACAGTTTTATACTGCTAATAAGCTGTCAGTGATCCTTTGGACAGTTACTATTTTATGGTGCCCTTGCAAAATTCACAGGAATTGGCTATGTCATTGAATGACATCTTATTTATATTTTCCACACAAGCAAATCCTTTCCCATTGTTATAACCAGTCACTTCATCCAACCTATAATTTTTTTTCTGAATAGTTCTTCCATTCAACATTTGCTGATAAATAGGAGCATACTCTAAAAATCAAAGCTTTTCTGTCATGAGAGAAATAAAGACATTTTTTCATAAATCAGGACTGAGTTAGACTGAGGGAAGATGAGCAAATCCAACAGGGTCTGGTATGGCTCACCACCCCCAGTGAAGGGCCAAGCATGTTCAGCATTCACGGAAGCAACTGAATAGTGATAGTATGTAGTTCAGTGACTGAAGGGACTTTCTCCCTTAATATAGCAGTTTCCAAACCCAATAGCTGTATTTTGTTTCCCTTACATCAGCATGAGGTTTGATTTGGAAACTGCTGATGGGACTCATGAAATAAATGTGTTGTACGTGCAGAGCAGTATGATATTAAAGTTGGTATTTGGACTTGACTCTCCTTCCTTATATTAAAAAAAAAATCCAGTAATTCCAGATTGTTCCCATATACATAGAACATCAAATCATTTTTCTGAAAACTGTGTGAACGCTGTTCAAGAAAACTTACGTAAAGCCATTCAGATTCCCAGCCCTCAAAATGGACACCCAGCATTTGACAAAGAATGAATATGCCAGCCAATAATGAGTTTTCAGGAAAGGTCTGTTGACTGAGATAAAGAGGAGGCCAGGGTGGCTTCACAGAGGAAGAAATGGATTTTCAGCTCAGATCAAGTGTTGATTCTCTTTGCAAGCACACTGCAGTTAGTTTGCTGGCTGTTATCCAGTGTCCTCCAGCTAAAGGCAGAGCCTGACCTGCTCACTTTCTTTCCATTGTGTAAGAGACCTTTAATTCACCTTTTGTACTCATTGAGACCAATGCTTTTACTAAAATGTGGCTGTGGAACCCAAGATTTCAAAACTCAGAGCTGCAGCAATTTCACATTCGAATTATTTTAAAATTACTGCTGCCAAAAAATCGACTACTTATTAGCCTAAAATGTTCTTTGTACTCCCATGCTCTATTATGGGATTTTAAAAAGCAAATTCACTCTATCAGGTGAAAGGAATTTTAAGTAGCATTAAATATCAAGGGAATTTACTTAGAGAACAATGTCTAGAAAATAGTTCTGATATTGTTTGAGGTACTGAGAGTATTTTTCTGCTAGGTAGCCTGTAAAGACACACCTCAGCCTGCAGTTGACCAGAGAGAAGTCAAACCAGTCTCAGGCTTTGTAACTGTCCTCTATTACTTGCGATCCAGAGATAACCAACCTTCTCCATAAAAGCAGCAAAGCTCAAGGCTCACTAAACTCCTATTACTGCCATACACAGACTTGCAGTGGTCTGCACTCTTACTCAAATATGCTCACAAAGTCCCACTATGTTTATCCCCACAAAGAAGTCATCACTTAAAATAGCTCCAGGTTTCCATCTTTCTTCTTGGCAGTGGTATAAAACTGGGACTGGGAAGTTGAACCAGTTTCCACACAATCTACTCATCCCTTTAATACTGCAGAGTTTTCCACAAAAAGCAATTTAATGCCTTCCCCTGAGACTTACAAAAGGTGAGAGGTATAGCTTAAAATAAGGTAATTTTCTTTCAGAGGTAATGCCTCAATTACAGTTTTATACTGCTAATAAGCTGTCAGTGATCCTTTGGACAGTTACTATTTTATGGTGCCCTTGCAAAATTCACAGGAATTGGCTATGTCATTGAACGACATCTTATTTATATTTTCCCCACAAGCAAATCCTTTTCCATTGTTATAGTCAGTCACTTCACATCCAACTTATAATTTTTATTCTGAAGAGTTCTTCCATTCAACATTTGCTGATAAATAGGAGCATACTCTAAAAATCAAAGCTTTTCTGTCATGAGAGAAATAAAAACATTTTTTCATAAATCAGGACTGAGTTAGACGCATTTAGCTATTGTGTACACATAAATATATACTCACCCATACGTGTATATTCTGTTTCTAATGGAGTAGGTTTTGAAAGCTGCTGACAAAAATGCATTTCTTGGGATGATTTTGATTTCATGTTCAGCCACTTAGCAAAAGCACTCAGAAGGCTCTGATGGGACTGACAGCCTGTCATCAGCCGCACCATTTCTGTAAGGAGAGTGCTCTGATGTGTCTTTTCAGCTGTACCAACACTAAAAGAATTTAACTGATTCCTTGCACATACGATTTTAGAGAAACAAGTGATATGTCTCCAAAATTTTGTTGTGTCTGTGAGGTGAGAGATGAAGTTACTTATAGCTCTGCTGGTTCCCAATAAAAAAGCCTCAGCAATTAGGCAATAGCACTGAAATAGGCAGAACAAAAGATTTGAGGGTGTGAAACGAAGACAGAAAAACAAAAATTTGAATTCAAATTTTAAGATGGGACTCCAGAAAGTCTGCAGATGTCATTTTACATAAAAGAATGCAGCTAAGAAATCTCTTTCTCCATTTTCTCCATAGTAAGCACAGCTGGTCTATTCTTCAAGTAAAAAGTTTTTTTTTTTTAATCAAAAATTTCATACATTTTGAGGACAGAAAAAAAATGGGCTTTTGTTAAAAACAAATCATGAATTTACATTAAATTGTACAGCATGCTTTCTATCTTCTACATTTGTCACTTGCCAAAATTGAGTTATAGTAAATGAACATTTTCAATAATCAGTACAATAATGTCTGATTTTAAAAACGCCTTTTGTAGAGAAGAGGCATTGGAAGAACCATCCCTGGTTTTGCAGAGCTAAAAGCCCTCTTGATTTCTTTCTGGTATTTATAGCTCTTTTTGAACATATCTCTGTGACTGACAAATGAGAACTGCCATCCCTTACCCTCCCTATTTTCTGGGGTTTTTTCTCCTGGCGCTGTTAGATGATGCCTGCTGACTGCTATAATTTAAAATAGATTTTTAAAGGTAGGGTTGATTGAGGGCCAGCTGAAGAATGAAGAAATTTTAACTGAATCTCTAATGGTTCATCTCTCTTGTGCTGTGACATTTGTTTGCCTCAGAGAAAGAGGTCATTTTAATACTGAAAATAAGACAATAATGTCCAGTTTTATTTTTAGATCAGTGTTTCTTGGCAAGCCCAGACATTTTAAGCATTTGCTATGGGAGGAGTACACCCACTTACAACTTTGTAGGTGAAATTTAAGCTGGAAGTCAAGAAAACTTTCTAACAATAGTAATGGCAGTAGAATATGTTGTCTAAGGGGGAGGCAGACTCTTCATCACTGCCTGTATTTAGGAAAGGTTTGGCAATAGCTCAGATCAGAGGCTAATTCAGGAAGTTTAGATAGATAGAATCTTTCTTGAGACATGGACTGAATAGCTTTGGGAGTGTTAGTCATAGCTGTTGTATTGTCATGGTTGCATTCAGGTCCAGGAATACAAGTATACAAGTATATTTGCTTACAAGCTCTCTCATTTACTGTCTTGAAATGTGGCCAAAAATTCTGCAAGGATAATGACACTCCAGCTGATGACAGGAATTAAGTCCTTCATCAGGTCTTGTAATGCCCTTGCTTTGCAATTTGGTATCTTCCTTTTTTTGAATGTCACAGATCTAGTAAAGAAATTTAAAACATGGAATGGGTGAAAACCATCTTATCTTTTAAAGTAAAAATGGCTGGTGTTTCAAGTCATGTGATATCAAATTCTCATTCAAAAATGCAATGAAATTGGCTGCACACATGTAAAATACAAAGTAGGAAGAAGCAATGTTCACTTCTAGCATCAGGTAATGCCATAGGCAAGGACAAAACTCAATTAATCATTGATCCTTTCTGTAAAATTGTTCAGATGCTGCAGGAAGTGATTAGTCATACAAGTTTTCAAGAAGACCCAAGGTTAATTAGTTTAGTTTACTGATAGTGCACATTAAGAAGCAGTATACTCGAAAGCCAAACTTTTTTCCAAATTCACAATACAACAAATGGCATACAATGCAGTAAGTTTTGTTAGTTACTTTTTTCAAATAAAATGCAATATACTTGAACTTACCAAAATAAACATATACTCTTAGCTGTTAAGAACTTTTTTTTTCCCTACTTGTTTGGAACTTCAGTAGTAAATACTAAAGTGGAAGTAAAATAATATTTCCCATTACTTTAATCTGAAGTTAGCAAAGTCAGTTAGCAAACATTTTATACTGTAGATAAAAATTCACCTATTACTCTATTTATTTTAACAGAGCTTCTTGAAAGATTTGTTACAGAAAGCAAATAAGCAGATTGAAGACTCAAAGCTAACGGAATACACAGAAATAATGGTAAGTTTATTTAAAGCTGTAGTGGGTTAATGGGAAGTTACTCAGTAACTGCCCATAATGGGTTAATGGGCAGTACTGCTCAAAAAAAGGAAAGTCCAGGAATTTTTAACCATAATATTAATATAATATTATGCCATGCCATTGTATTTTTCCTGTTTTGCTTCCTTGTGCTGCTAGCTGTAAAACCAAAGTACTCACATTTCATAGGAGCAAAATTGTTCTTGACATAATTATATTGTTTAGATCAAATTAATTTGGAGTTACTTTCTATATTTTGCTTTCTTTCAGTGCGTGTCTGTCTCTTGTCTTAAAAGATATCACTGCATAGGGGCTTCCTTAGATTTACAAATACCTCACACTTTCTTTCTCCCCTTGCTTCAAGGAAGATAATTGATATTTTAGATAATCACTATAGCAAAACTCTTGCTTCCTTGGTCATCCCATCCTTTGAACAATCCATCCATCCCATTGCTATGGCAGTCGATGGTAAGGACCAGTACTGGCTTCTGTATGAGCTTTTCAAGAAAAAAAAGACAGAATTCTCGTCTTCAGGAAACGTATTAATCTACATTTTTTGTTTTACCAGCTTGTTTTTATTCTAAAATACTTGTAACAATCAAAAATGTGCTAGGGAGGTGCACCAGGCCCTCAAACTGGCTTAAGATTGGCTGAACAAAACTTGTGTTTCTCCTGGAAAAAGTCAGCTGGTTCTTTGTACCAGTATAAACCATTTACACAGAAGTGTCACTGTTCATTTACTGCTGAAGATAACATTTTCATTCAGGGAGCTTTTTGACCTCCATCCTAGAGTGTGCTGTAAGTTCTGGCCTCTGCAGAGACACACATTGACAAAGAATTTATTTAAAAGTGAAAAAAATAAGCCCAGCTCTCCAATCATCTCTGCAGAAAACAGAAGGATAATAAAAAACACACAGTCCTGAGCAGCTGCTGGCAGGCAGAGCCAGCCACTAACAATTCATCTCATCAAAATACAAAATAAGTTCACAGCTGCCTCTGCTTACCTCCCTCAAATGCAAATTTGTTTTCCTGGGAAATGCATACAAGGCAGATGCTTTTATACAAAGGAAGGAGGTGTTAAAAGGAACCATGGTGTTGTGTAGAAATAAATGTTCATAGAATTGGTCACTTTTTTCTGGTATCCTTTGTCATTTATTTTGTATTAACAAAGTGAAATTAGGCCTTTTTCATTGCATTACATTAGCTCCCTCTTTAAAAGGATATATGTTAATGTATATATGTCAGTACAGGATGTTACTTTTCCTCTTATCTATAAATTACATCTAAAATTTCTGGGATTGCAGGTGATGGGATGGAGTGTGGGTGGTGGTGCTTTCAATACAATGTTTTGTAGTCTGCTGCTTTTGTGACTCTTTTATTGCACAGTAAGTGCAATGTAATGTTCGAAAGTAGAAGAATGGAACTATACAGACAAATACTGGAAGAGAAAGTCCTATGCAGGAACAATATGTTCATCTATTTCTAACAGCTATTATTAGCTATTTGTGCTTCTCAAGTGGCAGGAACTCATTCTTTCAAGGTCTCAAAGGAAAACAGTTTAATAGTAGAGCTATTGAAAATTATTAAAAATAATAACAACTTATTTTATTATATTAACATCGTTATTATTATAATTTAATTAAGCTTATTTGGAAAGATTTATTTTCCCATTTTCATACCATCAATAAAATAGGATCATCTGCAACATCTGTTCACTCTTTTTTTTAAATATTTCACAGTAAAAAAATATTGTCTTTACTTAAATAGTTAGACCTATTCAATTGAATGAAATGTCTATTGTTTTCTGTCTTCAGAATTGAATGCCTTGGATTCTGTTGTACTTAACCCAACAGATCTTCATCTTTATGAATAGAGAATAATGATTCTATTACCCAATCATGACATGAAGTCAAAAGTAAAGTGTTATCACATCAACACTCCTCTCATTTGTAAATAATAACATGCACATTTGTCATACAGGACATTCATTCAGCAGTGTAGGCAGGCTAAGACCTACCTTACCACAGGTTAATCAGAATTGCTCAGCTGGTTTCTTATCATGATTTAGAATTAATTACTCTAAATTACTTAGTCAGTACTTAAAATAAACGTATTACACAGTAAATGTGACCTGGGGACATCATGTCAGGACAAAGTTAATTGGATTTAAGTTTTCTAAATAAGTGTTTTCCTCATTAGGTTGATTAATTTTGATTGATATATTAAATATATATATTCTTTCAGCTCAGGATGTTTGATGCAAACAATGATGGAAAGTTGGAGCTTACTGAACTGGCCAGGTATGTCATCTGATTCTTTTCACAACAAATATCACATACCAAGTGCTGTAATAGAAACAGTTAAATATTTTGACCTTTGTTTTTTTTCTCTCCAAAGACTGCTCCCTGTACAGGAAAATTTTCTTATTAAATTTCAGGTATGAATATTCACATTATTCAGGTAATCTATTATTATCACACATAACTGGTGTCATTAATGGGTTTGTTTTCCTTTTGGCATTTAGGGTGTCAAAATGTGTGCAAAAGAATTCAATAATGCCTTTGAGATGTATGATCAAGTAAGTCTTTAAAAAATGTTTTTATTCATGGTGTAGTTTATTGGCACTTATTTTCTGAATTTGTGGAGAAGTAGCCATAGCCTCTGGAACTAAAAATAAATTTTTTAACTTATCTTTAATGGTATTTTTTAGGATGGCAATGGCTATATAGATGAAAATGAACTTGATGCCCTACTGAAGGATCTCTGTGAAAAGAACAAAAAGGTAATCCTAGAGGACTTCTTTCCCCTTAGAGATTAGATTTAATTTGGATTTTAAGGACGCTTTAATCCACCCTAATAAGATAAATATAGAGCTTCTAAGTAATAATTTCTGAAGTCAAAGCACAACTAAAAATTGTGGTGGAAATAATAGCAGTGTAAATCTTGAACGAGGGGAGTTACAGTGTCAAGAGCTTGCTTGCTTCTGAGACACCAGCTAGCAGCAAGCTAACATACAGCTATCATATAATGGATAACATGCAAATCTATAAAAACAGTTTAGTGTCTTACTGTTGGACAGGCTGGGAATACCTGGGATTTTTTCTCATTTCCTGCCATTGGAAGTAAACTTGTTCATGCTGATAACTAAACAGGATTATAAATCATTATCTGTTCTTTAAATAGGAATTAGACATTACCAACCTTGCAACATACAAGAAAAGCATCATGGCCTTGTCTGATGGAGGAAAGCTGTACCGAGCAGAATTGGCTCTTATTCTCTGTGCTGAGGAAAACTAGAGTTCTTCTGTCATGTCCATTTAACTAGTGATGTACTCTACACAATAACTGTGCACTGTAAGGGAGTAGGCTGTATTTTTAAACTGCGTGTAGAAAATTAGCCAGGATGTGTGGCACATTCCTTTCAGTTTGTTTCTATACTGTTCGTAATGTACAGTTTTTGTAACAATAAGATTGATAAAGAGAATGTCAGTGTTTGGGCCAGTTTGTATATTCAAAAAGAAACTACATATGTCAGGGTTGGTTTTGGTTGGGTTTTTGCTCTCCTAAACATGGCTGGAGAAAAATTAAACCTGCTGACATTGCTGTGGTCATCATATCCTTTGACACTTGCAACATTTCTTGTTAAACTACATAACAAAAAGATCTACACATAAACACGTATCTTTCCCAAAACAAATAAATGTGGGCTTTTTAAATAAGAAACATGAATTCAGATTAAATATGATCTAGGTCTAAAATAGGAAAGAGACATTTGCATGTCTGATTTTAAAAATTTGATAAGGCACTAAGAAATACTTTGAGTTGTTAAACCACCCACTTACAGGTCTTTACTCTCTGCAGTCTTACAATTACTCTTCTCATTGTGAATTCATAGCATATAGACAAAGCATTTATCTGGAATAGATCTCCATGCAGTAGCTGATAAAAGTATAGTGTTCTCAATCTAGCTGTTTTACTGAATTTAAACATAGGCACTTCAGAAATAAATGCCTTTAATCTGTCTTGAAATCCTGGCTAAATGACAGGTAGTATAGTTAACACACAGATTAACATATGATATTGTAAGTGTACCTTTCATGACTATTGCTGTGTCAGAGAATATGACAATCCATTTTCTAAACTATTTTCACATTTTGCAGGTTATAATTATTCTAGTAAATTGCTGTTTTTACATCATATTCTGTGTAATCTATAATTAAATTTAATATCCTAAGGTGATTGGTGTCTAGTTTGTGTATCTCCTGGATTCTTGTATCTGTACCATGTAAAAGACAAAGTGACTATTTTAAAAAAATGTGCCTCCTTGGATGTTACATTGAATTATTAGTATATCTCATTAGCATTAAAAATTGACATTAAATGAAGAAAAAATAGTACAGATTTTATAACAATTTAGTGATTTAGTTTACATGGTGGGCTCTGCTTTTTATTATATTAGAGATGTATTTTTTAAATGGGAACTATACTATGAAGCAGCCCTATCTTCTTGCATCCTTGGGTTTTTTGGCCTGGCTCCCTTTTTACTTTACACCAATTTTATGCCAGGCAACTTCGTGAATGTCCAGGCCACTGCTCCCAGTAAGTACTGGAGAAGGAGTTAATTGGGCTGTCTCTTAATGCCAATAAATCTATGCTGCCTCCATGTACAACTGTTTTGGAAGCAATTCCAGGTTAGCAGATTAGCTATATCCAACTTCTCAGATGCATTTCTGTGTCTTATTTAACATATGGAAGCAAATGCATTTTACTTGAAATGTGTCTCAAACAATGAGGCTCAATCCTTCAAGATTACAGTCAATGAACTCCCACTGAAATGAACCCTTGAATTCCTCAGGTGAACTCAAGCAACTAAATACCATTTCATCTCCCCTTGCTTCAAGGAAGATAATTGATATTTTAGATAATCACTATAGCAAAACTCTTGCTTCCTTGGTCATCCCATCCTTTGAACAATCCATCCATCCCATTGCTATGGCAGTCGATGGTAAGGACCAGTACTGGCTTCTGTATGAGCTTTTCAAGAAAAAAGACAGAATTCTCGTCTTCAGGAAACGTATTAATCTACATTTTTTGTTTTACCAGCTTGTTTTTATTCTAAAATACTTGTAACAATCAAAAATGTGCTAGGGAGGTGCACCAGGCCCTCAAACTGGCTTAAGATTGGCTGAACAAAACTTGTGTTTCTCCTGGAAAAAGTCAGCTGGTTCTTTGTACCAGTATAAACCATTTACACAGAATTGTCACTGTTCATTTACTGCTGAAGATAACATTTTCATTCAGGGAGCTTTTTGACCTCCATCCTAGAGTGTGCTGTAAGTTCTGGCCTCTGCAGAGACACACATTGACAAAGAATTTATTTAAAAGTGAAAAAAATAAGCCCAGCTCTCCAATCATCTCTGCAGAAAACAGAAGGATAATAAAAAACACACAGTCCTGAGCAGCTGCTGGCAGGCAGAGCCAGCCACTAACAACTCATCAAAATACAAAATAAGTTCACAGCTGCCTCTGCTTACCTCCCTCAAATGCAAATTTGTTTTCCTGGGAAATGCATACAAGGCAGATGCTTTTATACAAAGGAAGGAGGTGTTAAAAGGAACCATGGTGTTGTGTAGAAATAAATGTTCATAGAATTGGTCACTTTTTTCTGGTATCCTTTGTCATTTATTTTGTATTAACAAAGTGAAATTAGGCCTTTTTCATTGCATTACGTTAGCTCCCTCTTTAAAAGGATATATGTTAATGTATATATGTCAGTACAGGATGTTACTTTTCCTCTTATCTATAAATTACATCTAAAATTTCTGGGATTGCAGGTGATGGGATGGAGTGTGGGTGGTGGTGCTTTCAATACAATGTTTTGTAGTCTGCTGCTTTTGTGACTCTTTTATTGCACAGTAAGTGCAATGTAATGTTCGAAAGTAGAAGAATGGAACTATACAGACAAATACTGGAAGAGAAAGTCCTATGCAGGAACAATATGTTCATCTACTTCTAACAGCTATTATAAGCTGTTTGTGCTTCTCAAGTGGCAGGAACTCATTCTTTCAAGGTCTCAAAGGAAAACAGTTTAATAGTAGAGCTATTGAAAATTATTAAAAATAATAACAACTTATTTTATTATATTAACATCGTTATTATTATAATTTAATTAAGCTTATTTGGAAAGATTTATTTTCCCATTTTCATACCATCAATAAAATAGGATCATCTGCAACATCTGTTCACTCTTTTTTTAAAAAATATTTCACTTTATTTAAATAGTTAGACCTATTCAATTGAATGAAATGTCTATTGTTTTCTGTCTTCAGAATTGAATGCCTTGGATTCTGCTGCACTTAACCCAACAGTTTTTCATCTTTATGAACAGAGAATAATAATTCTATTACCCAATCATGACATGAAGTCAAAAGTAAAATGTTATCACATCAACACTCCTCTCATTTGTAAATAATAACATGCACATTTGTCATACAGGACATTCATTCAGCAGTGTAGGCAGGCTAAGACCTACCTTACCACAGGTTAATCAGAATTGCTCAGCTGGTTTCTTATCATGATTTAGAATTAATTACTCTAAATTACTTAGTCAGTACTTAAAATAAACGTATTACACAGTAAATGTGACCTGGGGACATCATGTCAGGACAAAGTTAATTGGATTTAAGTTTTCTAAATAAGTGTTTTCCTCATTAGGTTGATTAATTTTGATTGATATATTAAATATATATATTCTTTCAGCTCAGGATGTTTGATGCAAACAATGATGGAAAGCTGGAGCTTACTGAACTGGCCAGGTATGTCTTCTGTTTCTTTTCACAACAAATATCACATACCAAGTGCTGTAATAGAAACAGTTAAATATTTTGACCTTTGTTTTTTTTTCTCTCCAAAGACTGCTCCCTGTACAGGAAAATTTTCTTATTAAATTTCAGGTATGAATATTCACATTATTCAGGTAATCTATTACTATCACACATAACTGGTGTCATTAATGGGTTTGTTTTCCTTTTGGCATTTAGGGTGTCAAAATGTGTGCAAAAGAATTCAATAATGCCTTTGAGATGTATGATCAAGTAAGTCTTTAAAAAATGGTTTTATTAATGGTGTAGTTTATTGGCACTTATTTCAGAATTTGTAGAGAACTAGCCATAACCTCTGGCACTAAAATTAAATTTTTAACTTATCTTTAATGGTATTTTTTAGGATGGCAATGGCTATATAGATGAAAATGAACTTGATGCCCTACTGAAGGATCTCTGTGAAAAGAACAAAAAGGTAATCCTAGAGGACTTCTTTCCCCTTAGAGATTAGATTTAATTTGGATTTTAAGGACGCTTTAATCCACCCTAATAAGATAAATATAGAGCTTCTAAGTAATAATTTCTGAAGTCAAAGCACAACTAAAAATTGTGGTGGAAATAATAGCAGTGTAAATTTTTATTCATGGTGTAGTTTATTGGCACTTATTTTCTGAATTTGTGGAGAAGTAGCCATAGCCTCTGGAACTAAAAATAAATTTTTTAACTTATCTTTAATGGTATTTTTTAGGATGGCAATGGCTATATAGATGAAAATGAACTTGATGCCCTACTGAAGGATCTCTGTGAAAAGAACAAAAAGGTAATCCTAGAGGACTTCTTTCCCCTTAGAGATTAGATTTAATTTGGATTTTAAGGACGCTTTAATCCACCCTAATAAGATAAATATAGAGCTTCTAAGTAATAATTTCTGAAGTCAAAGCACAACTAAAAATTGTGGTGGAAATAATAGCAGTGTAAATCTTGAACGAGGGGAGTTACAGTGTCAAGAGCTTGCTTGCTTCTGAGACACCAGCTAGCAGCAAGCTAACATACAGCTATCATATAATGGATAACATGCAAATCTATAAAAACAGTTTAGTGTCTTACTGTTGGACAGGCTGGGAATACCTGGGATTTTTTCTCATTTCCTGCCATTGGAAGTAAACTTGTTCATGCTGATAACTAAACAGGATTATAAATCATTATCTGTTCTTTAAATAGGAATTAGACATTACCAACCTTGCAACATACAAGAAAAGCATCATGGCCTTGTCTGATGGAGGAAAGCTGTACCGAGCAGAATTGGCTCTTATTCTCTGTGCTGAGGAAAACTAGAGTTCTTCTATCAAGAGCTTGTTTGCTTCTGAGACACCAGAAGCTTGCTTGCTTCTGAGACACTTGTTAGCAGCAAGCTAACATATAGCTATCATATAATGGATAACATGCAAATCTATAAAAACATTTTAGTGTCTTACTGTTGGACAGGCTGGGAATACCTGGGATTTTTTCTCATTTCCTGCCATTGGAAGTAAACTTGTTCATGCTGATAACTAAACAGGATTATAAGGCATTATCTGTTCTTTAAATAGGAATTAGACATTACCAACCTTGCAACATACAAGAAAAGCATCATGGCCTTGTCTGATGGAGGAAAGCTGTACCGAGCAGAATTGGCTCTTATTCTCTGTGCTGAGGAAAACTAGAGTTCTTCTGTCATGTCCATTTAACTAGGCAGCACCCAGGGCATCTCAGGGGCCATTAACAGTGCCCAGCTAACCATTATGCAGAATATCATGTGAATTTCCACCAACAACTTAATCAGGATTGAACACAACCCTTGAAACAAATACTTTGGCTTTCTTTTATTCACTGCTTCACTGTTCTATCAGCAGTTCATGTGCCGTATCATAGCACTGATCTAATCGTCCTGTTCAGAACTTAGTTATCCACCTTTGAAAATATCCACACAAGCTGATGAAATTTCTAAACACCATATTCCATGGGCAAATGTCAAATACAGACCAGGGTGCTGACAGTCATCAGCACTTTTATGCAAAATGAACCTCGTCAATGAATAAAATACATACACACTGCTACTAAACTCTCCTTAAACCTCAGTTAAGGCTGTGTTTCTTTACATAAGGTTTGCTTTTTCTGATTTTTACTAAGACCTCATCATAATCATGGTTATAGCTACTGGTTATGGAGGGCAACTAAAATCCACTCCTACTTGCTGTAGTTTTGAATTGATACAGAATGCATACTTGGGCACCTGAATATACATGGCCTGATTTTCTGAAGTGTTGAGCACCTCAAATTCCCTATGAAATAACTGAAGTTGTTCTTCAGCAACTAAAAGCAGGTCAGTGCATTCAAATCCCAAAGACTATTTTATTTTATTGCATATTAAATGATCACATAAAAGACTGTGGGGTTACCTTTATTCAAGTGGCATTACTTATTTAGCAGTTGCAACACAAGATGCTATATTGGAGGAAGACAATGGTACAAACTTTCTTGCAGTTCAGCATCTTTAGTTGCATGTCATCAGCGAAATAAATGGGCAGGAGATCTTTCTCCTTTTTAATGCCTTTATTAAGAAGAATCAGCTCAGGTGGGGAGAAATCGACGGGTTGCACCCTCGCCGCCGTTGCTCCCAGGCGTGGCACGAAGGAGGAGGACGATGCAGTTTTGTCCGCTGGTCTGCAGGCAGAACTGGGGACTCTGTCCTCACGGGAGAGTCGTGGAGTCCTTGGTTTGTTTGTTTACAAACCCGGGGGGTCTCTTTAATCAGTTTCTTTTAGGTTAAGGGTGAGAAATAAAAAGCTACAAGCAGGTACGGGACAATGCTCCCATCCTTAGACGTCACTTTAAGTCACTTTGTTGGCTCGTGATTTTAGGGGTTTTTCTTATAAAAACTGTAAAACTAAAAATCCAGGGTGCACTGCGTTTCTTATTTGCATGCTGTCTCTGGTGTCACTGCCCCTTTACATTGTGCACAACAACACCTTGAAGGCTGCTCCAATAAACACAGTTGATTTGTTTTATCAGAGGCTTTTTAATCCCACACACGACCATCACTCACAGGAGAAAGGCACATGGAAGCCTGCACTAATACAGTGCACACTTTCAGCAGAATACATCTTAGCTTGCTTCAGATTTGTAATAATGCAATCAAGTTACTTCAAAGTCAGATGCTGGCATATGTTAAGTATGCCCTAGATTGTGCAGAAAAATACAGGACTGCCACCAGCACCTGAAGGAAGATATCCTTAAATTGATTCTGTTGTCCTGACTCTTAAATCATTGTATCAGTCTCAAAGCACATAAAACTATGTACATGGTTGTATGTGGTGACAGGCTGAAGCTCTGGTTAAACACAAAAAAACCCCACAAAAACAAAAACAAAAAAAGACATCAATTTCATGTTGTAAAGGCCAGAGGCTGATAATTTCTTTGAAGAACTCCAGCCATTGTCTGATGCATGAGGGACAAAATCTACCAACTCTCTAAATTTGGATAAAAGAGGAAGAGAAATTTTTTTATTACCTGTTTATCTGGGATGGATAAATTGACTAGATTCAGAGGTAATGCCATCTAAAAGTTTCTTTAGTACAAGCCAGTGAATGCAAATGAAACCTAGGGATTTTTTTGTACATTTCAACAAAGGAGGTTTCAACACTTTCAGTCCCAATATACTAACATCCCTTTAACAGTCTAAAATAAACCGCTTTTTATGGAGAGCTGCCATAGTCACCCGTATGTAATAACAAATGATTTTTAGCTTCTCATTTTCAAGAACATTAACTTCATCATGAAAAAGAGCAAGCTGCTTAGAAAGGCACTGCAGGTCTGTAAATGCCATTTTTAAAGTTCAGAAAAAGATAACAGACTGAAAATGTCTCTAAAGATGAGACCAAGACAGTTAGGCATTTCAAGATTTCCTAAGTAACCACAGGAGTTACATCTTTTCTCAGTGTATGTAATCCTACTAATAATGTGAAACTGAAACTGTTTCTGCAAGTTTAGAACTTC